TTTTGGGATTTGGGAATTTTGGGATTTGGGAATTTTGGGATTTGGGAATTTTGGGATTTGGGAATTTTGGGATTTGGGAATTTTGGGATTTGGGAATTTTGGGATTTGGGAATTTTGGGGAATTTGGGAATTTGGGAATTTGGGAATTTGGGAATTTTGGAATTTGGAAATTTAGGGATTCTCAAATTCTCAAATTCCCTAGCTCCAAATTCTCAACTCCAAAATTCCCTAGTGCCACGATTTCCTAGACCCCAAAATTCCCTGGTCCCTAAATTTCCTAGACTCCAAATTCCCCAGCCCCAAATTCTCAAATCCCAAATTCGCTAGTCTCGAAATTCCCTAGCTCTAAATTTAAAAATCCCAAATTCTCTAGCCCCAACTTTCCTATCCCCAAATTCTCAAATTTCCCTAGCTCCAAATTCCCTAGACCCCAATTCCTTGGCCTCAAATTCCCAAGTCCCCAGATCTGCAAATCCACAAATCCCCAAGCCTGAAATCCCCAAATTCCTCAATTATCAATCGACATTCCCAATAAATCTCGCTTCTCACCTAAATAAAAAATTGTTCCATGCGTTCAAATTATTTGAATCAACGTCTTTCTTTCCTGAACGTGTCATGTTTCGAAAATGGCCCACTCGTTTGATCAGCTGAACAAATGTGGCCGTTCTTCGGGCGAAAGAAAAAAATTTGAGGAAAGTAAACTAGCAAGGGCCGCAGGTTCCGAGAGAAATCGTGAAGACAGAATATAGACAGCTGGATAAATTTGAAGTTGGGAAATTATGGGGTTGAAGCAGAAAGGGTTGATTGAATCGACTAAACTTGGTTCAGGTTTCCGAGGTTCCCTCTTTTTTTTCTCGCGAAGAAATTACCGTGCTAATTCAGCTGCTCGATCGAATTCTTCTTCATATTAAACAAAACGTTATCTATCTTTCTCGTCGGTGCGAACGATATTTCGAGAGAATTCGATTCGACCGAAAAACGATGGATTACAGAAATAAACGTTCCGATAACAGTCAGAATTATCTCATTCACGGCGTTCAATTCGAAAGTGTGCCATTTGAAATGTACAAAAGCAGTTACTGCGCTTCGAACAATTCGTTTGGGTGCAGGAAAAAAAAGGGGAGAGAGAGAACAGTTTTAAAAGCGAGCGATAAAATTTATGCAAACGTTGCGCGTTTAAAATCATAAATATAAAGAGATAAATGCTAGCCGAAAAAGGTAGTTACTCTTGAAATACAGTCAGATTTTAGGGGAATTTATTCGATTTCATTTGTATCGATGAAACGAAGGTACACTGAATAGATAAGTTAGATTTACTGTTACTTTTTTTCGACGAAAAATAATAGGAAAAATTACTGCACATCTTTTTATTGCGGGGGAGATGAACATAATAGACGCAAGAAATTATTGAAGGAAAATAGAAAGTACATTATGAGAAATATCGAACTGAACGAGATCATAAAGATGGTGTATAATTACGTAATAATTGGACGGAACGTCTGCATGAATTATAAAGCATGAAATTAAATATGTATTAAAGTGATGGCTTGGAGGTAAGTGTCGTTTAAATATTAAATCTATACGTATGTTCATATATTTATGTTTAAACATATGTTTATGCATATGTTCATATGTTTATGTTTAAACATATGTTTATACATATGTTCATATGTTTATGTATAAACCTATGTGTATACATATGTTCATATGTTCATGTATAAACATATGTTCATACATGTGTTCATATATTTATGTATAAACATATGTGTATACATATATTCATACATATGTTCATATATTGATATACATACATATGTTGATACATATGTTCATATATTTATGTACAAACATATGTTTATAGATATGTTCATATATTCATGTATAAACATATGTTCATACATATGTTCATATATTGATATACATACATATGTTGATACATATGTTCATATATTTATGTACAAACATATGTTTATACATATGTTCATATATTCATGTATAAACATATGTTCATACATGTGTTCATATATTTATGTATAAACATATGTTCATACATATGTTCATATATTTATGTATACACACATGTTTATACATATGTTCATATAATTACAACATAATGTATTTTTAACACATAATGTATGTAACCGAATATTTCTATTATTTATCTAAGGAAAGTAATAAATGACCCTTAACGATGATAAATTTTAGTCCATATAAAAAGATCGCTCATCAACGTCCCAGATAATTTTCTTAGCGTCGATTATTCATCCGCGATATCTCGATAAGCAAAAATATTCGCCCGATATTGAAACCGGGAAAATGAAAGCATAATGAATTGAACTCGATGAAATTGTACGCGAGCAACTTGAACGTGAACAAACGAAAACGCGTTAACCTATTTTCCGCCATAATTCAAGCCCCTTCTAACGCGTGTATTGGAATCTCCGGTTCAATTCTGTTCTACATAGTCGGTCGAAAATAAAGAAAACGAAGCGTTGCATGCAATAAAGCACCTCAGGTATCCGTCTGTTAATTCAATCTCCTAAATTCGATCCGGCTCGGAACAACATAAACAAAACACCGTGCCGGACAAATCGAATATCCGGATGGCTAGGTGGGATACAAGAAAACACGTTAAGCCGTCCGACTCTATATAATTCAGCCCTGTTTCGCTCGCCGACGCTACACCGCGTCTACAGTTTCTATATTCAATCTCTTAACTCGATTTCATTCGACACCCGCTGGTAAAACGAAGCGGAAAGGCAGTGTTCGCGGGTTTCGCATAATGAATCCTCCTCCACCCTCTTCAACATCGCAACAAGGCATACCTGAAAACGAGCAACAACCGCGATTCTCGAAAGCTCGATCCTCGAAATCTCAAACACGATTCCCTAATTGTTCCGAGCTGTGTAGCAGACGCTTTACACCACCGCCATCGCCACCATTCAACACGCTACCCCACCTGAGGGGGACGCTACCGTGTTTCCAACGCAAAAAGCCTGTATTAACTGGTTTACGGGCTACAACTTGGGAATGGGATCAAGTTTCGAATTTCATATATTTCACTAGGCAACCAAATCGGACCTCCCTAGGGCAAATGATTTGCAACGGGTAATTTCACGATTTTGGGGTGGGAAATATTGAGGATAGACTGGTATTTTTGAGAACGCTAAATTTTTAGGAATTTCGAAATTATAAACATTTATGGAATTTTTAAGAGTTTTGTGAATTTGTCAAATTTAGGAATTTGTAAAATTTGTGAATTTCTGAACTTGTAAAATTTTATAAATTACAGACTATAATTTTGACCTCTGGGAATTTTGAAATTTTTTAAATTTATGGAATTTTTTAAAATTTTGTGAAATTGTAAAATTTACGAATTTGTAAAATTTGTGAATTTGTACAATTTTATAAATAACAAACTAAAATATCGAGCAGTGTGAATTTCGAAATTATAAAAATTCACAGAATTGTTAAAAATTTATGGAATTTGTAAAAATTTGTGAATTTGTAAAATTTGTAAACTTGTAAAATTTGAGAATTTTAAAAAATTTGTGAATCAGTAAAATTTTGTGAATTCCAAACTAAACTTTCGAGTTCTATTAATTATAAATTACGACAAGCGATAAGTAAAGAAAAATGACGAGTTAGATAAATTACGTAAACTATAACTAATTATCAATGATGACAAAGCAAGATGAAGTATGATGAAGCATGAAGTATGATCAAATACGTTAAACTATGATGAATTATAGTAAGCTATGATGAATTGTGACAAATTATAATAAATCTACATAATATATATAGTAATAAATGTAGATATATGATACGTTATGACAAATTGTGATAAATCAATCATGACATAAATCATGATAAATTATGATAAAATGTAATAACTGGAAACTTATGATAAATTGTGAACTTTGGGGAAGGTGTTTGAGATTGGGGGATCTTTTTAGGATCCAGGTGTAACCTGATGAATTCCTTCCAGACGGGGTTGGTACAGAAATTCATAATTTTGCATATTTAAGAAATATAAAGAGAATTTTAGAACGTACAAATTTCCTCCAAAATTTAAAAGTTTAAAAAATTCATAAACTATAAAGGAAATTATGAATTTAGAAAAGGGTGAACGTTTCGAAGTCCAAAATTTCTAAATTTTCAACCCTTTTAAGACTTTCGAGACTCGAGACTTGAAATTTCTCTTGGATCTCATAAATAATTCAGATCGGTTCAATATACATATTTTAATTTTTCTCCTAGTTAGAATAAATGAAAAGTATATTTGTCACTCCCGTTGCAATCTAAGAACCCCTTCTTGAACCCCTAACTTAATCAAAGGACAAATATACTCGAAAATTAAAATATTCGTAAACCTAAAATTTCCTCACTCTTGAAAATTGAAAAGCTATCGAATTTACATGTGACGATCTTGGTTAGGTTAGGTTAGGTTGCTCCCATTGCAATTTTAGAACCCCCTCTTGATCCCCCAACTTAATCAAAGGATAAGTATACTCGAAAATTAAAATATTCGAAAGCTTAAAATTTCCACACCCTTGGAGATTGAAAAGCTATTGAATTTACTTATGATCGTCTTGTTTAGGTTAGGTTAGGTTGCTTCCATTGCAATTTGAGCACCCCCTCTTGAACCCCCAATTTAATCAAAGGATAAGTTTATTTGAAAATTGAAATATTCGAAAGCTTAAAATTTCCACACCCTTAAAACTTAAAAAGCCATCGAATTTACATGTGACGGTCTTGGTTAGCTTAGGTTGCTCCCGTTGCAATTTAAGCACCCCCTCTTGAACCCCCAACTTAATCAAAGAATAAATATACTCAAAAATTAAAATATTCGAAACCCTAAAATTTCCACACCCTTAAAACTTAAAAAGCCATCGAATTTACATGTGACGGTCTTGGTTACCCTCGTAAACCCCTCCGTACTTACGTACAGTCGGTCAACAAGTAATGGGAAGATCCTCGGTTAATAAGCAAAATCGTACTTGTTGGTCGTTGATGTACCAGGTGAGATTGGCCGCCGGTTTGCTCCGTCCCGATGTGCAGTTCAGACGTAGCATATCGTCGATCCGGTATTTCCTCCTTAACCCGTGTATCGACGGCCCTTGAGAGGGTAATTCTGCGGAACAAGAGACGTCAGGTACACACGCGAACGGAAATATGCGAAGCATGTTCGAAACGCCGCCTTTGACGTTCGAACGATCTGTGCGCTAGCTATGCGGTGTACACGTGCGTGTACGTGTGTGTTTGTTCGCGATATTCGGGGGGATGAAAGTTTTCAAGATTCCCGGATGCACAGGCGTATACCGATACTCGCTCGCTGATGAAAAATTCTTCTTTTATGCCTGGCAATTCGCGCTCGCCCACCCCCTCCAGCGTTTCGATACCGGAATAATGCATTCGTAAGAGAGACGCCGATCCCTCTGACAGCCCCTCTGAAAAATAGTTTCGCCGGGGTGTTCTCGTGCAGCGAGACGCGTTTGATGTTTCAGAGGGCGCGACAATCCGCCAACATTTTACGGGACAACCGCGGAATTACTAAAAAAGATACGGGATAACGAAAAGTTTTGCGTTAATGCGCTACCACCGGCAAGATAAGGAATGCGGCTAAATAACAGACCTCTCCGTTTTCCATTTCGCTTCTTTTGTGTCCCTTACACTGCTCGAGAGACTATCCACTCATTGTTCCTTTGACGTGTGCTCGAGTTTCGAGAGGCTACCAGACAAATTTTAGTTACCACCATAGTTCCTTCGTTGAGACAAAGAAAACGAGTAAGCAGAGGATTTCAATGTTTTCTACAGATTCCACGGAAAGAATTGATGTGCTTCCATTGTAAACTTAAGGACATTCTTTGTGATTGCTGGCTTGCGATGTTCTTTTTAATTTATTGTTAGCTTGCTCTCGTTATATTGCCATCATTCGTTATTTTCATAAATTACCCTTGCAATATTAAGTTTTATAATTTTTATAGACGTTGCAACGTTGCACTCTGCACTCTCGTTATATTGCCATCATTCGTTATTTTCATAAATTATAATAATCTTGGCAATATTAAATTTTATATTTTTTATAGACGTCGCAACTTTGCACTCTGCACTCTCGTTATATCGCCATTTTCATTCGTTACTTTCATAAATAATAATAACCCTTGCAATATTAAGTTTTATATTTTTTATAGAAGTTGCAACTTTCGTATTGAGCATATGAGTGACATGTGTACAGTCGTTCGTTATATCGCCGTACAGTCGTGATTGTTACTCATTGTCACGCATATGTGCATCGCTGATTGTACCGTCATGTGTCGTATGTGTTGTATTGTCACGAGCCGTATCGTCGGAATATTGTCATGTGTCGTATCGTCACGTTTTGTATTCTTATTGTATCGTCACGTACTGTAACGTCACGTATAGTATTGTCACGTATTGCATCGTTACGCGTAGTATCGCCATGCGTAGTATTGTCACGTGTAGTAATGTCACGCACTGTATTCTCATGCGTGGTATTGTTACATATGGTGTCATTACGCGTAGTAATATTACATGTAGTATATATTGTCATGCGTGGTATCGTCACGCGTGGTATCGTCACATATGATATTACCATGTGTAGCATTGTCATACGTGGTGTCGTCACATATGGTATTACCATACGTCGAATTGTCATACGTGGTATCGTCACGCGTGGTATAGTCACGCGTAGTATCGTCACACGTGGTATCGTTCACATATGGTATTATCATGCGTGGTATCGGCACATATGGTATTATCATGCGTGGTATCGGCACATATGGTATTATCATGCGTGGTATCGGCACATATGGTACCACCATGCGTGGTATAATCATACGTGGTATCGTCACGCGTGGTATAGTCACGCGTGGTATCGTCTTGCGTAGTATCGTCACACGTGGTATCGTTCACATATGGTATTATCATGCGTGGTATCGGCACATATGGTATTATCATGCGTGGTATCGGCACATATGGTATTATCATGCGTGGTATCGGCACATATGGTATTATCATGCGTGGTATCGGCACATATGGTATTATCATGCGTGGTATCGGCACATATGGTACCACCACGCGTGGTATCGTCTAGCATGGTATCGGCACATATGATACCACCACGCGTGGTATCATCATGCGTGGTATCAGCACATATGATACCACCACGCGTGGTATCGTCATGCGTGGTATAATCACGCGTGGTATCGTCACGCGTAGTATAGTCACGCGTGGTATCGTCACGCGTGGTATTGTCACGCGTGGTATAGTCACGCGTAGTATCGTCACACGTGGTATCGTGCACATATGGTATTATCATGCGTGGTATCGGCACATATGGTACCACCATGCGTGGTATAATCACGCGTGGTATCGTCACGCGTGGTATAGTCACGCGTAGTATCGTCACACGTGGTATCGTTCACATATGGTATTATCATGCGTGGTATCGGCACATATGGTATTATCATGCGTGGTATCGGCACATATGGTATTATCATGCGTGGTATCGGCACATATGGTACCACCACGCGTGGTATCGTCATGCGTGGTATAATCACGCGTGGTATCGTCACGCGTAGTATAGTCACGCGTGGTATCGTCACGCGTGGTATTGTCACGCGTGGTATAGTCACGCGTAGTATCGTCATACGTGGTATCGTTCACATATGGTAATATCATGCGTAGTATCGGCACATATGATACCATCACGCGTGGTATCGTCATGCGTGGTATCGGCACATATGATACCACCACGCGTGGTATCATCATGCGTGGTATCAGCACATATGATACCACCACGCGTGGTATCGTCATGCGTGGTATCGGCACATATGATACCACCACGCGTGGTATCATTATGCGTGGTACCGTCACGCGTGGTATCGTCATGCGAGGTATCGGCATGCGTGATATCATCACACATGATGCCATCACGCGTGGTATCGTCATGCGTAGTATTCTCACGCGCTATAATACAGCGGCTATATCGTCACATCTACACAATTCCATTTCCCTACTACTATATCATAAATATTAAAATTTAGTATCTAAATTTTTCAATCACCAATTTGCCCAACCCACCTTTCCATCACCACCAAAGAATTTAATATCTTCCAAAATTTTCCCCGCAACTTTCCCAAGGATCTGAACCGACAAAGGAAAAAGAAAAGAAAAGGGTAGATTATTGACGGTACGCGTAGACTCGTGTCCTTTCGATGTTTCCTTGGCAAAGGTGTTCGGAATATAAATATTTAAAGCGTTTCCATACGAAAAATTCTTCCGCAAAAGTTTCATATTGCTACCCCACGGGAATTTTCTCGTACGAGCTCTTGGAAACGAAGGACCGAAGAAAGTTTCGTCTCGCGGACCAACAAATTCTGATTCTTTTGAACGTATTCAAGCGTGAAACGCGATACGACCGAGAGAATTAGAGACAAACTCTTTTTCTTAACAGTTCGCGGCTCTGGTTTGCAAATATTTGCTTGCTATACACTGTTCCAGTATTTCTTCATAAGTTGGTACATTGATGCTTATTTTATGCAATTGTTTCGAGTTATGGTTCAATCGAAAGTGTCAAAAAGAAAATCAATGTAAAATCACGTGTATATTATACACGTAACACGTACGAAATTATGTATATTTTTTTATTATACAATTTCATTTATGATATTTAAAAATATTCCGCATGAATGGGTACCAGAATGCACAGTTCAAAATATCAAATGCATAGTTTGCGAGGTATTTTAAATTGAAAAAACGCGAGATATTTCTTGGAAAACTTTTGGAACTAGTCCGCTCAATGGTTTTCGAGGTGTTCAATCAAACGGTCGTTTCGACAACAATTTTGGAAGCTGTATTCGCCTCTTCAATATCGATATTTCTTGTTAAAAACAGAGCGTGTGTCAAATATTTTTTCGAATTCTGGATTATCCTATGCTACATTGAAACTGGCGTGTGTCAACTGTGTCTCTTGATTTATCGAAACTTTTGGGGACTCGGTTTATTCCTCACTTTCGAAACAGAAAAGACTGTAGAAAGAATCTTTTATAGATTATTGGGGTTGGGGAATTTAGGATGTGGGAGTGGGTATTTGAGATTTTAGGGACTTGGGGGTTTGGGACTTGAAAATTTGGGGACTTGGAAATTTAGGAATTTTCAAATTTCGTCTATAGACTCTAACTTCTCTAGATTCCAAAATTCCAAAGACCCCATATTCCCTAGATTCCACAATTCCAAAGAGCCCAAATTCCCTAGATTCCCAAATTCTCAAATTCCCGAATTCCCTAGATCCCAAATTCCCAAAGTCCCGGATTCCTCACTTTCGAAACAGAAAAGACTGTAGAAAGAATCTTTTATAGATTATTGGGGTTGGGGAATTTAGGATGTGGGAGTGGGTATTTGAGATTTTAGGGACTTGGGGGTTTGGGACTTGAAAATTTGGGGACTTGGAAATTTAGGAATTTTCAAATTTCGTCTATAGACTCTAACTTCTCTAGATTCCAAAATTCCAAAGACCCCGAATTCCCTAGATCCCAAATTCTCAAATTCCCGAATTCCCTAGATCCCAAATTTTCGAATTCCCGAATTCCCTAAATCCCGAATTCTCAAATTCCCGAATTCCCTAGATCCCAATTTCTTTAGCTCCCAAATTCCCTAGATCCCAAATTCTTTAACCCCCAAATTCTGAAATCCCCCAATTTCCAAGTCTCCACATTCCCTACACTCCAAATTCCATAATCCTCATATTCAGAAAAAGCAGAATTTGATATTTTTATTGTATCGAATCACATAATTAAAGGAGATTATTTCTACAATGCGAATTTGCAAAGCTTCCAATTTAAAAAAGTTCTTAGAAAATAAATGAGAAGTTGCCCATCTCTGTTTTTATCTGAAGTCCATTCGCAACAATAAAATCCTTTTTATCCTCTTACATCCTCGAACAATTTTAATAATTGTAACGCAGGAAAATTTAATAAGATTTATACCGCTTTAAAAGAGAACGGTTGATTTGCAGAATATATTTTTTATTCAGTCGCATAAATAAATAAATCACGTCCGACGTTCTATCGTGGAAATTCGGTATCTGATATTTAACAAGCTAATGTTTGA